GAGAGAGAGAGAGAGAGAGAGAGAGAGAGAGAGAGAGAGAGATGTTAAGTGTTAACTAAATGCTACATACATAACACCTGTATCTAACAAACAGACTATTACAGCCACACAGATAAGAAGGAATTGGATCTGATGCTATTACTAGAATACAATTAGGAAAAAGAAATGGAGGCCCATTTTCCTTCAGTTAGGGAATAAAAGGGAGACTTAAAAGAGAAATGAAGCAAGCAAAGACAATAAATTAGCAAAAACTAAAAATCTAAAATATTGGTGTTTCCTTACATACCAAACTTCTAAAAGTTTATTCAGATTCAAAACAGAACCAAAATGGAAAGGAAGAAAAGCTTGTAAAGCAATTCAGAAACAATGAAGGCTTCTGCTCTTCCCCTGCCCCCACACAGGAAAGGGCCTGCAGGAAGCTGGGCTCTCACAGCCTCCATCTGGCAGCCAGGTCTAGTGGAGTCAGTTCTGAGAACTCTCTAAGTTCCCACTTTCTATCTGATGACAGAATTTATAAAAACCATTCTTTCAAGTTGGGGCAGTAATGCACACCTGAAATGTTACTGCATGAAAGCCTGTGAGTTCAGGGTCAGTCTAGTCTACAAAGCAAACACTGTCTCCAAAACAACAACCCTTCTCTCCACACACACATGTGCTCCATACACCTCTCCACACTGAATTCTTCTATACTATGACACCAAAGCATGGGATAATAAACCTGCACTACTGGGACAACTATAATCCCTACAGGAGTATGCAGTGTTCACAACAAGGAAATTATAGCATCATGCAGAAAACGGGCCAGAAACAAACAATTTACATCAGCACTGTGGGGCCCCAAGCTCAAAGCACTGTGGAACTCTTCTCATGGTGCTGTCTTCAGAGACTGAATATTTATCCAATTATATCCCACAATAAGGTACTTTGTGAGACCATGAAATACCTGACAGTAAGTTACTAAGGGCTCATGGCATATGAAAATGAAAATAAGAGTTAACAGAATTTACACTCAGGACATTTTTGTTGACACTGGTCTGAAAGCATCAACTTAACACTGCCTTTGTGAAAAACAGGAACCCTGGGAATCACACCTGCACTGCTACTGCCGGGTACTCGGGTACTCGTGCTTTCAATTTCTGCTATTGAATGATTCTCCATTACAGCAGGTCCCTGCCCTCAAAAGTGCTAACAGCGCAGCTTCTAACAGTGCAGTAACTGAACCCAAGGCCTCATGTACGCTAGTACTGAGAACTCTAGCACTGACCTACACCTGCAGACCTTGAGAGACACACAGTTCACATTTGCCATATGGTAAGCATAGTGGATTCTGAAAGCACTCTACAGAATCTTGTCTTGACTTCACGTGAGCTTGCTGTGCGACCGAGCACCAGGCACTGTGGACACCACCAGGACTGCCCATCTAGGCCCACCCTGCTCAGATGCAGTAGCAGACACTGCTCCTATGGAGGCAGGCCATCTCTGAGCCTTTATCAGTTTATCATCAGACAACAAAACCATGCTTTATGTATGCTTCTGTCAGAGGCAGCACAGTGTCTAGGACCCATTTCCAACATTAAAAATCAATAAAAACAAAAAGAAAAGCAGTATTATTAAATCAACTATGAAAATGATGCTATGTTTGCTTATAAGGTGGTAGGTGTTTGTTCCTTTTATGTAGGGACATACATACACATCAGGCAAATAGTTTTACCACTCTTCATACCCATATAATCCCAGCACTGACAGATACAAATTCAAGGCCAGCCAGGCTGCTGTGGGAGACCATGTCCCAAAATCTAATAAAGAAACACCTTGGGGCTTGGGATGCAGTTCAGCTGATAGAATGTATGCCTAACATGCACAAAGTTCTGGCTTCCCAATATAAAACCAGACAGGAGGCTATGGTTGCAGTCCATGGGAGGCAGAGGTAGATGTTCAAGGCCAGCCTCTACCAAGTAAGTTTCAGGCCAGTTTGTGCTCCTTGAGACCCTGTCTCAGCAAAACAAACAGGACTTCAAAAGTGCTTCAAGTATAAACTTAGGGGTTACAAATAGATTGAAGCAAATGGCTGAATCAGCAAGTACATTAGATATTACCAGTAGCAACTCTGAGTCAGACACTGCAACACAACCTCCAACTCTACTACCAGCAAAAGAAGGTTCTGAAAAACTTGGATGCAAACCCAGATGCTAGTAGGTTCCCACATAGACAGCAGAGTTTTAGACACAGTGCTTCAAGACAATGTCCAAAGTTTTTAAAAAGTGGTATTTTTCATAATGTTACTTCCTACCTGATATATTCTAAAAGGGATATAACGAAATCCATTTTCTTCGGGTGGATATTCCATGAGTTTCCGGTTGATGGCCCAAAACTGGTCAAATCTGTCTGAAATGATATAAATTCTGTTATTAAGAATGAACATCGTTAACAGACCAGCTCATAAGAAGACATGAAAGTCCTAAACATTCTCTCAAATGTTTCTGAAAAGCAAATAGGAGTGGTTTGCAAATTATTTCTCTTAATGTTAACATAAAGCAAGATATGAAATTAATCTTTCTACAACAGTTTTTCTCTCAAGAGAAACCCTAAACAGGCATGTGACTATTTGTGTTACCAAGGCAAAGACCAGCAGGAGAGACAGAATGACTGTTCATTTAACTTAGGCTGATAATCTGTATTAGAACAAATCTGCATAATTTAAATATTACCCAGCACTTACATAGAGAAACCACAGTCTAGAAGAGCTTCTGAAAGAAATGTGCAACCTGGTGCTGGGGCAAAGTCTCTATAGCACATGACTTGAAAGCATGACAGCGAGTTCAATCTCTTAGAACCTACATAGAAATGTCAGGCATGTTAGTTCCTGTTTGTAATCCCAGAATTGCAGAGGAAGAGGCATCGAATTCCAGGCCAGCCACCTAGCCTAACTGGCAGGCTATAGGCAATGGAGTACTTTATTCTAGGCAGAGGCTTTCCTGACACTGTGAGTGTCCTTTGGGCTCCATGTGCACTCACACACAAAGAGAAAGAGAAAAGCCAAGGAGGGATGTAATCCCCCTGGAAGAGCTGGCTTGCCTAACAGGTACAAAGCTCTTGGCTCAAATCACAGTACATGGGGGAGGTGGGTGGAAACAAAATAAAGAAGAGTATGTGTGAACTGTCAATTGCAGTGTTACTTCATACTGATTGCAATTTAAAAATTGTTCAAGCTGAATTACAACATTACTAAGTTATAATAAAAATCTACAGTCTCTAAATAAATTCAGAGGTTAGAACATTTATTGTAAATGCAACCATGCAGTATGTCATCTTTTGCATTTACTCCGTGTATATATGTGTGCATGCTGCATACGTACAAGATGGTGTTTTCAAAGTTCATTCTTGTACCATGTCCAAAAGTTTCATTTATCTTTAAGATTAAATAAGCACCCAATGGTAGAGTTACAAGATTTTGTTAACTTATAAATTTTGGAGTAATTCCTACTTTTGGCTATCATAAGTCACATTACTGAGAACATCAGTATACACAATTTTTATAACAATGTTTTCAATTCTCTTGGTGGACCAAAGAATGAAATCCCTGCCTCTTACAGCAAAGCTGTTTAACTGATACAAGGCAATTGTTTTGAGGAACTGCCAAACTGTTTTCCCAAGTAACTGAACCATTCTCCATTTCTACCAGCAATGTTAAGAAGTTCTAATCCACGTTTGCCACTGCCAGAACTAACCATTTTTTTTTTTTTTTTTTTGAGACAAAGTCTCACTATGCAACCTTGGCTGGGTTCAAACTCAAAGAGATCCACCTGTCTCTGACTCCCAAGTACTGGGATTAAAGGTGTGTACCACCATCAACTGTGTCCCCCCCCCCTTTTTTGGATATATGGTGGTATGAGGCAGTAACTCAATGTGGTTTTTATTTGCATTTCTTTAATTACCAGTACTGAGTATCTTTTTATTTGCTTGCTGGTCATTTATGTATCTGCAGATTTCTCTGGAGAAATGCCCAAAGCTCTTATTTGTTTTATTTTTGTGTGTGAGCACAGTCACACATGCCACATTGCACATGTGAGGTCGGAGGACAACTTTTGGGGGTAGGCTCTCTCCTTCTATCATGGGTTCCAGGGATCAAACTCAGGCATGACAGCATACTTTCATAATTAACACACATGGGAGGTGGAGGCAGGATGATCAAAAGTTAAAGATCAACCTTGGCTACACAGTGTCTTTGAGGACATCCTAGGCTACTTGAGATCCTGCCACAAACAATTCAAAAGCCTTTTGGCAGAGCTAGGCTTGGTGTGACATAGCTGTGATCCAGCACTTGGGAGGCAAAGGCATGAGGATCACTACAGGTTTGTGGCCATCCTAATCTATATAACCAGCCAGCACTAAATATCAAGATTCTGTCTCAAGACATGCAAAATAAATCCCCAAAGTAAACTTTATCAAAATAGATTTATATGGATTCCAAGAGGGGAGTGAAGGGGTAAACATCCAACCAGAAAACAGGCTAATTCTCAACTAGGGAAGATTTGAGATTTAAATTTAAGATTAAAATTAAGATTTAATAAGATTTAATTTAAGAGGAGATTGAGTAATTGTCTGAAGACATTATTGGTTGTCTAAACTTGTCTGTGTGCCTAGCAATTAGTGGAGGGAGGCCAGGAAAACTGCTACACACTACAATACATAGAGCAGCTCTGCCAAACAACTATGTTGACCCAAAATGCCAATGGAAGGAAAGCAATCACAAGGTATTGACAGGGGATGAGAAAAGTTTCTGGAAAAGACCTCCAAGGTGTAAGTGTGTAAACAAAGGAGCACACTCACCCTTGCTCACAATTCACCCTGCAGCATGTGCACTAGAGTATGGGCTCAATCCTTCCCAAGTCTTTAGAGTGGCAACTACTTAACAGATTTCTCAGCAAGTGTGCTGAGATTCCAATGCAAAAGGCTCCTCTGCAGTTTCCAATGGTAGCAAGATGGGTCAGTGTCATTGGGGTAAGGGCATCAAGGGAGATGTCACTCCCTTATATGCCCAGTTGTACATTCTTTTTAGGAACACAGAAGTCAGCACTTAGAAAACTTCCTGCCTTTATAAACATGGTGGAGGCCCCAAAGTGGGACACACACCCAGCACACATTTGTTTCCCCCTGTAGTGCCAGCTCAGAACCAAGCTGCTGATCTAATTTTAAGGTCTGTACAGATCACTTACTTGTGAATTCGATCCCAAATTCTAGAATCTGATTGTTTAGCTGCTGTTATGGAATAATTTTTTTGTATGCTGTGAAGATGTGTCTTTGCCAAGGTGGCTTCTGATTGGTTTAATAAAAAGCTAAACAGCCATTAGCTAGGTAGGAGGTACAGGTAGGAGAGCCAGAGAACTCTGGGAAGAAGGGCAGAGTCACCAGTCAGATGGAGAGGAAGCAGCATGGACAGTCCAGGGCAAAGGTAACAAAGCCACGAGACAAAAAAGCAGACTGATAAAAGTGGGTTAATTTAAGTTGTAAGAGCTAGTTAGTAACAAACCTAAGCAATGGCTGAACTTTCATAGTTAATAAGATATCTCTATGTGGTTATTTGGGAGCTGGCAGGAGAGACAGGAAAATAAGCCTACAAGCTGCTAATTCTTCAGCTGCTGCTTCCCTCTGACTTGCTGTGCCCTCCATGTGGGCACCTATCTGCTTCTCAGTTCCTGGTTGTTCCTCCTGGTCCCTTAAGATTTCCTCCCCTTGCCCTGTGCCATGTCTTTCTGGCTCCTGGATGCAGCTTCTATACCTTTGGGGCTCCTACCACATGAGCAACTTTTCCTCTGGGTTCTGGCCTTCTGTACACCTATGGGTCTCTCTACTAAAGAACTTACTCTCTCCCTTTTCTTCACTCTCCTGGCTGTCTCTGACTCCAGACTGCAGTCCTACAGCTTCAGCTCTCAGCTCCTTCTTGGAGCTTATAGGAACACACCCACACAGCTTTCTGCCTTGCAACGTTCTCTTCTTCCATGTACTTGGATGTGATTACAACAGCTTGGTCTTGATACAGATCAATGGCCAAAAATTGGCACACTTCACTTCCAAATTCTCATAGATTATAACAACTGCACAAACAAATGATCCCCACATCTCTCCTATCTAAACTCACTCTGCTCTCTCTACACTTCCAAAAGCTTCTTATCTCTGAGGTTCTAGTTTCCACTCTAAAGCATTTTATCTCTATGATTTCTCTGCACTCTGCTCTCAAAAAAAAAAAAAAAACCTCTCTTAAGAACTATGCTATAAAATCTTATCTCAGGATTTATAAGTTGTTCATTGGAAATGGATTAAAATCCATAAAATCTTTAAGAAAAATATGGCTTTAAAGTTATAACAAATGCCTTAAAAATCTATACATATATATATATATATATATATATATATATATATATATATCCATGTATAGATTTTTATGATTTAACTCTTGTTTAGGGTATGTGTATAACTTAGATTCAACTCTCATTTAAAAAGATTGACTAGGAAAATATGTTTTTAAACAGCAACCATATGGTTTTCCTCCATCTTGGCTGATGACCTCATCAGGGTGTAAGTAGTCACATGGCTGGTAGCCATCATTACTAAGGTTAAAGGATACATGCCATGTGACTTAACTTCGGATGACCACATGACATAGAACAGTAAGTGTAAAATTTCTTGGTCTAATGAGCTGTGTTTACCACTGTATCTCTTTTTTAGGCCAAGGAAGCTACAAGTCTCCAAAATATTGTGGATTTGTATGGATTTTTATATGATGATAAAAATTTAAGGCTATATTTGCTACAACATACTATACACGTGATTCAACTCTGGTTTAAAATATACTATATATGATGATAAAATTTTAAGGTTATAAAGTTTTGCTGAGCTCATCAAAAACTGGTTTAAGACACATGCCTAACTACTTATGTCTTTGCTAGAAAATTTAGATAAGTAACAACATGTTTGATAAATAAGGTATATTCAATAGTTAAGATTTATAAATTCTTAAGCTCTATTCAGGTTCACAGTAATATTTGTCTAGCTTCTTTGTCTTTGCTCAGTTTAAGCTTTAGTCATTTGGATAAACTAAGACATATAAAAAGCCGCATGTTCTACAATGGTGCACTGTAAATGGATCAGCAAAGTTGCCAGTCTCAGTATGGACTGAAAGTTTTATTTTGATACTAAAAGAACTTTAATTCAAAAATTGTCATTTTTAAGGCTAAACCAAACAGGGATGAAATATAAAGTCCTAGTCTTATGAAAACTATTAACCTGTAAAGTGCTAAGGATAATTAAAACATGCAACTGGACCTTATAGATGATCAAATGTGAACTATACTTGAAGTCATGCTAAGTACTAATGTAATTAATTA